AACGGAGAGCTGCCTCAGCACTAGATTGGGGTTCCGATGCAGCTGCATCATCAACTCCAGCAACCAGCCTGTCAAGTTATGTATGCATGCTTTGGTTTCATACACATGGTTTTCGTGCATGACATGTATGACATGCGTGGACATGCATGGATATGCATGGATGATGGCTGAAACGTCATGCATGCCTGTCCCCCAGTGGCAATTGGAATGTCATCCGGTTGCCATGACCAAGTTCCTGCGCAAACCCCATATGTTTCATCATGCGTGGCCATGCATGGAAAACATACGCTAACAGTCCTGTGCTGGAATTGTCGCTGCAAGGGTGTGCATCACTGATGCCAACTGTGCATCCTGACCATTAGAAAGGTTCAGCAACAGCAACTCTTACCAACAACTTGACAAAGCTGTCCTCTGAGATGGCGTCGATAGACTCCTGAGGTACCTGCATGCTAATACATATCCGTTGAAGGTCAGAATTGTCATTTCACAAGGCACTAGCAAATCCAGGGAACGCACCCCAATACTCCGCAGAACCGCTTCCCAATTTTCAGGATGGTCCTGCATGTTGTTAGAAATGTCAAAGTCACACACACACACATATGCAAGGCACAGCTTATCTGAGTTCATGACAGGGGCCATTTGGAGTGGGACCGCCAGCCGTGCTCGGACATGGGCATCCTGGCGACATCATGACACAGTCTGATTGAAGAAAAAAAGGTTACCCCCCCAACATCCTACCTGATCATGCTCTTCTACAAGAGCTCTCTTGCGTCTGCTCCCTATGGGTATCATGTGCATCCACTTTATGGATGACACTTGGGTTTTAAAATGGCTACAGTCAGATACACTTTCTCAAAATATTCATGCATGTCGAGCTTAACCTACATGATAAAAATATATTATAACAGTATGGCATGTCATCATTTCGAAACAATATTGGGGGCACCACACTCAGTGGGCTAAGGGGCGGCCGCTAGCAGTACCTGAAAAACACAGAGAAGGGCTGAATACCTGTTAATATGTCATCATGTGTGCATGCATGCAGTTCTGAAAGAATTCTTGCACAACCGTGGTTACTCTACCCACCTCCATGCGTGAGCAAAAACATGCATACATTGCAGCTTTCCATGAGTCATTTTCTTGCGAGACAAAGCATAGCAATCCACACATCATATATGTAGGAAGCGACTCCAGCATAAGATTATGTGCATGTTCTCACGCACTGCTGAAACGTCAGGTGCACCCCAAATGGCGCAAGCAGAACATGCATGGTTCTTACCATGCTTACACGAACCCAAGGCAACCCAGTGGGAAGTCCAACTGAATTGCATCCCCTATATATGGCTCCAGCCAGCTTCAACCACGCATCACGCCAGGATCCGGGCCATAGCCTACAGCTCAAGCTCATTGAACATACTAATACATATCAATGTTCTCATGCATGTATGCGTGGATGCTGCATTTTTTGTCATCATGCATGCATACCAAGAAACCTCCCGCGCTTTTGCAATGGCTTGCTCTTCACTCACTCCCATCTTCAGCTGAGCCCGTTTGGTGTTGTGGTATACGCTTGCCTTCCTTGATTTCAACTGCTTCTGTTCAGGGGTCAAGGTGCGTCTGTTCATCGCTTTTGCCTTAGCTTTCGCCTTGGCCTTTGGTTCAGGTCTGCTACTACTACTGGGTTCACCAGTGGCAGGTGTGCCGGGTTCATCAGTGGCAGGTGTGCTGGGTTCATCAGTGGGAGGTGTGCTGCTAGCTGCTGCCTTTGCCTTCGCTTTGGCCTTTGCCTTCGGTTCACTTTTTGCTTTCGCTTTGGGGGCCGATTTGGCCTTCGGGGCCGATTTGGCCTTCGCGGCCGATTTGGCCTTCGGGGCCGATTTGGCCTTGCCCTTTGCCTTTGCCTTTGGTGCTCGTTCAGTTTCGTCCAACTTGTTTTTCGGTTTCCTTCCCCTACGCTTGCTTTCTGGTGGCCCCAAGAGTGCACCAGCTGCAACCCAATGTTCACAGTCAGGTGGAGGGCCAGGAACCTTGGATTAACACAACATGTCCATACACATGTTGCAAACCAAAACAAAAGCACATAAGACCATGCATGCATGCCTCAATGCAAGAAACATGAATCTGCAACTCAGCGCAATCACCAGCACATTCTTGGGGGTGGTCAACCTTCTGTTCATCAAATTCATGGCCTTCATCATCTGAGTCATCGTGAACTGTTGCAGAAACACCGTCACTTTCCACATCATCACACATGTTGGTTCCAGTGCCAGCTGGCAGGGTAAATCCATTCTTCTCATCAACTTCCGTCAAGCAAAGGTTAAGGGCAGCCAAACGTTCTTGTGCCAAACGATCATCACGTTTCTGTTCTTCTTCAGCAACTTTGGCCCAATACCGTGAACAAGAATCAGGCTCTGGTGTGGGGAATGACTCAGTGGGACTGCTATCAATCCAAACTGCTTCTTTCAACTTTGGCGAAGCTGGGTCCTCACCAGAGAAACCCGGCACCTCCGGCAAGAACTCCATTGGCAAGGTGTCCAAGTTGTCCGGGCCTGATGTACATGGCAATGCATGGCTACTATCATGGGGATGCTTACACAACATGCACATGCATGATGAGTGCCGGACAAACTGCAGGTGGAGCCGGTTTTGGGTGGTAGGCTTCGATTCTAACAGCTTTCATTGTCGCCTCAACCTTCCTCTTCTTGAGGAGAAGCAACTCCATCTCTTCAAGTTCAAGCTCAAGCTCCATGAGTAATCTACCTTGGTTGGCAACTAAAACACAAATATAGATATACGCATTGCCATATCAAAACATATCACCATATATGTCTTTATAGATTGTCAAGATGCGCTTAGCTGCCATAGCACTTGGGGGCGTAGAGTCCCTTGCAGTACCCGCTCCTGCCAAATGGACAACCCACACAATCACCCACCTACCCTCAAACACGCACACTTAAAAATTAAAATAGATTGCATGCATGATATCTGTCCTTCAGGCATTTCACCTCGACTCTCCCCAGGGGTACCTCAAGACAACTTTTCATTGTTTTTTTTTCAGCAATTAAGCAAAACATTTAAACCCACATGATATGCATGCAAGGTACATCCCTTAGATGGAGTGGCTTGCATGCGCACAACTGCAGCAGTCAAGTCTGGCTGCAGCCCCCCTTTCGAAGAGCTACTGTCCTTTGACTGACTTTGTTCCATGTCCTTGGCCGTATCTGACACTGCAGCAGCAGGGGGAGCTGCATGCTCCACCCCAAGAGCAGCCTTTTGCAAATCTGGCCCTCCAGCACCAGATGAAGACTTGGTGGATGCCAGGGTTTCATCTTCCTTGGGAAAAAAAAATAAATGCACGTGGATCACCAATAGACATAGAGGACACACTCATGCATGCAATCAAGAATCAGTGTCGCTTCCACTAGAATCAGTTTCTTCAGATTCTGACTCCGAACCATCATCTCCTGTGGCACGAACTATGGCAAACATTTGCAAAGCAAAAAACGGAAACATGGACCTGGAATGGGTAAGTTGGCAATGGTGTAGATGTTTCTGATTTCAGCGCATCGCGGACGATGGGGTCGCCTGAGTCATCCAAAATAATGCAGGCTACATACAACACATGCTCAATGCATGTGCAGTGATTAGTGATGCATGCAGGTCTCAAAAATTAAGCAAAGAACTTAGCCACACGTGAGAACGCGTACACCAATCTCATCGCAATTTTCGCATGCAGTTTTGCCCTAATACCTTAATGCAAATGACAACATCATGCATGTGAAGAAACATATTGTCTCCATGTGGGAAAACATTGATAAACAAACATGCATGTCAAAAGAAACCATGCATGCATGACTAACAGTGTCACAGATGCTGCAGAAATCTTGGCCTCTTGGAAGGGCTAAAGAGAAAAATTGGTGCGCTGCCTGTTCAAACATAGCAAGCGATGGTCTGAGCCCGCAGTGTTTGATCGCCAGCCCGATCACAGCCGAGTTCCGCTTCAAGTCACCTGGACGAACAGCAAATGCAAAAAAAACAACGCAAGTATTCTTTTCAAACAGAAATAGTCAACCCAACAACTAGACAACCACTGGGTATCCTACTCCGTTTGATCTTGTTGTTCTTGGAAACCTGGACGATGGAATGCTGCAGGGCTCTTTCCTTGACTCCATCCGTGTTGGCCCATGCGGTAGCCAAAAGTGATGCCTGCTCAAAATGAGCCATATCACAACACAAGTCTGAGCCAAATATCCCCTAGCCACATGCATGATGTTGATGATGCATGCATGCATGCAAGCATGCATGTATGCATGCATGTTTCATGAATGTGATGCAAACAAGTTTTGCAACGCTAGTGTCAACAGAAAAACACAATGCATGATCATGCATGTTATGAATGTCATGCATGCACAAACATAGCAGAAAGAACACAACAAAAAAAACGGGGCACTCGAAAATACCCAGATGTGAGCCGACCTTTGCATGCATGAAACACACCACGAATGCAACAGCCTTTCGAAAAAAAAATGTAGCAACCCAGCTCGTAGAGCATCTGGCGTGACAACTCCCCACTTCAATCCTGCCAAATCCATGCCACACATTTGACTGAAACATCACTGGGGCAATAAGATAAAACAAATTGCAATCATCACCACTCCTGAGTCAGCCATACCGGTCATGGCATTGGGTGATACACTTTGAGCAAAATGCTCTTGGTGCGGCAGCGCTATGATTTTTCAAAAAAACATGCTAAAACATAGCACTATGTACATGTTGGATCATGTTGGTACCTAACCAGTACTTTTGATCAAAACATGATCAACCAGATCCCCCAAAAAAAACTTGCTCGATTTAGTCTTGTTCTAAAGAATATGCTCGTTTATAATTTTTATGTATCAAAAAATGGTTTGAACAAGTTTTTCTGTACCAAAGGGTGGTCCAGGTATCATCAAGAAACATGAGTAACAGAAATGCCATATCATGACATGCTATAACAGGACTCATTCTATGGCTGGAACAATCAGTTTGAAGATGTTCTTTGCCTTTGGAATGAAAACTTGCCGGTGACACTTGGCAGGGTCGTTCTCAGAGTCATTGACAGACTCGTTGTCATACTGATCCAAGTGCTCCAAAGCCATGTTGCCCGTTCCGGCATCGGCGCCATGGCCATGCATTGACGACTTATTGTCAGTGTCATTCATCGTGTCGTTGCCACTTTCTCCACTTTCTCCACGTTCTCCACTTTCTCCACGTTCTTCAGTCTCCATGTTCAGCAAAGAACCGTTCCACTCCGTCATATTTGCCCTTGCGGACATGTTCTTGGCTTTGTCCATCATCTCCACTGCCAAACTCCAGGTTCCATTGCTGAGGTTGCTGTTGTTGAGATCTGGCTCCAAAACGTCCCGGTCCTTGAATCCATCAGCAAAACCTCCCTTTGCTATGCACACCGGTTGAAACATTCAAACATTTCTCCTCCATTTCACTGCCATTGCTCATGAATATATATGAATATCTTGCCATCATTCTTTAAGATCATTTAGTGGCCAATTATTTCGTAGCATACTTGGTGGTTTGTTGATTAAAGATTTGACTGGTGTGAGTCCACAAATAGCTTGGGATCCGACTGAAAGCACAGCAAAGCACGGCAACAATAGGGTGAATGGACATCGGGGCAAATCTCTTGCACCTCAGCTAACAATCCGAAGAGCAAAACAACTCTGAAGCAGAAATGATGAAGTCCGAAGTTCTGAAGAAGAACTTGGATGACATTTTGGAACAGTACGCCGGAATATAAATGGCATGACAAACACGGGTATGGTTGATGGCGATATATGGCGCAAGGAGCTGGTCCGGCAACGTGCTTGATGTTGTGACAGCAGCGATCTCTGAGCTAACCACTCTCATTCTGTCTGCTCAGGATACAGCTGGGCAATGTCCACTGAACACCTTGGAAAATATTGGAAGGCACCGAGAGGAACTTGGTGAAGTTGTGTGGAACACTCAAATTTATTCAAATTTATTCAAATTTGGTGGACAGCTGAAGTGTGTCATCCAAGAACTCTTCAAGTCCACCTGTCTCTTTCATCCTATACACCGAAGCTCCCTTCAAAAGACTGTCTGTTTGAAACCACTCTGAATCTGGATTGCTGGGAGAGAAAAAGTAGATAGCAACATATACATAGAGACTCTATGACTCTATGTGGATGTGTACAGGCCTGTTACAGATAGAGGATGATAGAGGCAGCAACATTCGGTTGAAGCTGACTGGAGTCAATTCACATCTGCTGAAAAAAATACTTAGTCAGTGGCTAAAACGACAGTCGCATCTCTCGCTATATCAAAAAACTTACTGAAACACCAGGTTTGGATCAGAACCTGTTCCTTCCTCAGGCGCGCAGTTTTCCACACACGCAGTGCGTCTGGTCCATATGAAAGTCAAACGTTAGGGACATGTGGAATGATACTTTCCAAATTGTTGCATTTTGCTTTGGAACTGTACAGGCACCATGCCCACCATTGCTGCCTGCCATGCCGCCATTTCAGCGGGACTGCAAAGAGCTCATGTCTGGTCGCCACTTGTTGTATTGCCTCGTCTGTCATCACACAGCAACCTGGATAAATCCATCCTTTGCTTTTTCTACAGTCTGGCCAGCGACCGCCCCTCACGAAAGTGAGCAAGAAAACTGAAGCATCAGTCATGTAGCCTTTAATCTTCTTCATTGCACCTTCAAACATATCCAGGCCAGTGTGAGAGAAAATGGATTGCGCAATCAAAAAGTTGAAAGTCGAGTCTGCCAGTGGTGCTTGGAATTTGTCATTGAAAGCAAATTTGGGTTGCTTCAGCCACAAGATCTGTTCCCCAATTTCATAATGAAGGGCCTCTCGGACAAGCCAGCTGTTTGGCTCAATGCAATGGTATTTCCCAGGCAATAGGTATGGCAAAACCACCCGCCCCAAACGCAGTGCACCGCAGCCAATGTCAAGCAGGGAGTCCGTTTCTTTCAAGCCGCTCAGATACAACAAGGAGAATTCAAGCCCTGACATGTCCGCGTAAGCCTTATAAGGTCAAAAAAAACCCGGTAGTGCTTAAGCTGGATTTGTGAACCCTTCGACAACTTTTTTAAACTCTTCCAAACTTCATCCGGGCTAGCTGGTTGAGAATACAATTGCAACCCCTCGTAGTGCAACCGTGAAGGCTGTGCCTGGCCCACTTCGGGCACTGTCTTTTCTTGCAAGCGTGGCTCGTCAGGCATGACGTGGGTGGGTGCTTGATCCTCTTCTTGCAAGCGTGACTGGTCAGGCACGACGTGGGACATAAACGGGCGACAGGTACGGATCCATGGAAACCCGAAGCCAATCAAGAAACCTACAAATCCACTCAGCAGCCATCGGGTAGCCATGGCTACGGTAGCATACGGTTGCGCAGACGCAGCCAAAAATGATGCTTCAAAGCACACGTTGCCCAAAAAGCGCCCTGGTCTTGCACGGTCACTAGCATTTTGTTGTTTCAATCCTTGCAATTCTGATCAATCCTGGTAACCTTGAAAAAAACTTCTCAATACTTAACAATCAAACAGAATCAAACATTCCACGCAGACAACCGAGTTCAAACACCGACTCGGGACTCTCGTAGGGGCCGGACATCTTGGCCGCTCTGTTGCCTCCAGTCGAGCTGCGTCGCCTGACCCCAGAATGGACTGTGACCAGACATTGATCAGTCAATTCAGAGATCTACGGTATTGGATTTTTCAACATTATTCGAGCTGAAGAGGAGTAGCTCACCAACAAAAGGTTTCCAACAAATTGGCACAGGAATCGCATTCATAGAGCAATGAAGTGGCATGGTATTTAAACTTGTCTCAAATCAACAAATCCCCTCGACATCTCTCGCTATATCAAAAAACTTACTGAAACACCAGGTTTGGATCAGAACCTGTTCCTTCCTCAGGCGCACAGTTTTCCACACACGCAGTGCGTCTGGTCCATATGAAAGTCAAACGTTAGGGACATGTGGAATGATACTTTCCAAATTGTTGCACTTTGCTTTGGAACTGTACAGGCACCATGCCCACCATTGCTGCCTGTCATGCCGCCATTTCAGCGGGACTGCAAAGAGCTCATGTCTGGTCGCCACTTGTTGTATTGCCTCGTCTGTCATCACACAGCAACCTGGATAAATCCATCCTTTGCTTTTTCTACAGTCTGGCCAGCGACCGCCCCTCACGAAAGTGAGCAAGAAAACTGAAGCATCAGTCATGTAGCCTTTAATCTTCTTCATTGCACCTTCAAACATATCCAGACCAGTGTGAGAGAAAATGGATTGCGCAATCAAAAAGTTGAAAGTCGAGTCTGCCAGTGGTGCTTGGAATTTGTCATTGAAAGCAAATTTGGGTTGCTTCAGCCACAAGATCTGTTCCCCAATTTCATAATGAAGGGCCTCTCGGACAAGCCAGCTGTTTGGCTCAATGCAATGGTATTTCCCAGGCAATAGGTATGGCAAAACCACCCGCCCCAAACGCAGTGCACCGCAGCCAATGTCAAGCAGGGAGTCCGTTTCTTTCAAGCCGCTCAGATACAACAAGGAGAATTCAAGCCCTGACATGTCCGCGTAAGCCTTATAAGGTCCAACAAAACCCCGGTAGTGCTTAAGCTGGATTTGTGAACCCTTCGACAACTTTTTTAAACTCTTCCAAACTTCATCCGGGCTAGCTGGTTGAGAATACAATTGCAACCCCTCGTAGTGCAACCGTGAAGGCTGTGCCTGGCCCACTTCGGGCACTGTCTTTTCTTGCAAGCGTGGCTCGTCAGGCATGACGTGGGTGGGTGCTTGATCCTCTTCTTGCAAGCGTGACTGGTCAGGCACGACGTGGGACATAAACGGGCGACAGGTACGGATCCATGGAAACCCGAAGCCAATCAAGAAACCTACAAATCCACTCAGCAGCCATCGGGTAGCCATGGCTACGGTAGCATACGGTATGCTACGGTTGCGCAGACGAAGCCAGGTTCAAAGCACACGTTGCCCAAAAAGCGCCCTGGTCTTGCACAGTCACTAGCATTTTGTTGTTTCAATCCTTACAATTCTGATCAATCCTGGTAACCTTGAAAAAACAAATTCTCAATACTTAACAATCAAACAGAATCAAACATTCCACGCAGACAACCGAGTTCAAACACCGACTCGGGACCCTCGTAGGGGCCTGACATCTTGGCCGCTCTGTTGCAGTGTGGGTGCCCCGCGGGGCCGGTAAGTGATTTCTGCCGCTTGCCCCGCTTGCCCCGCTTACTCCGCTTCTAGGGAAAATAAGTGAATCTTCCTCCTTGCCCCGCTTGCCCCGCTTGCCCCGCTTGCCCTGCTTGCAAACCGAGGGAAGATCGGTGGTTCTTCCGCTTGCCCCGCTTGCCCCGCTTGCCCCCCGCTGCCCCGCTTGCCCCGCTTGCCCCGCTGCTTTGCTTTGGTTTCACCACACAGCAGTAGAAAAAGGAATACAGGTGGTAACGTGAATGGATGTTTGGCGAGTGGGGCGAGTGGGGCGAGGGGGGCGAGTGGGGCGAGTGGGGCGAGTGGGCGAGTGGGGCGAGTGGGGCGAGTGGGGTGAGTGGGGCGAGGGGGGCGAGGGGGGCGAGTGGGGCGAGTGGGGCGAGTGGGGCGAGTGGGGCGAGTGCCGACGGGGATTAAGTGGCGAAGGATGTTATGTGAAGAAGGTGGAATGTTTTTCCAGTATCATAATAACAATGTTCGAACTGACCACAATGTATGCACGTTGTTTCCCAAAAATCCATCCATGCCTTGATGGCGCGTGGGCGAGTTTACATGCCTGGAATATTTATGCGATTTTTCCCGAATGCGTAGCAAGGGTTCCCGTTTCACTCTGGGGGTCTGGGGGTTGAGGGTGTGTTCGCTCGACGTTGCGTTCGCGAGCGCAACCGTCCGCAACCGTCCGCAACCGTCCGTACGAACTCCGTATGGCCGTGCCTATGGGAAGTTCTGCAGAGGTGGTCATTTTTGGAGGTTTCAGACGTGTCGTTGCTTCGTTTCGCGTGGCAGGCGTGGCACTTCGTGACATTCAGACGTGTTCTGCAACGTGTCGAAAGTCGTTTTGCGTGGCAGGCGCAATACTTTTGTGACGTTTTCAGAAGATGTGTTGCAGTTTTCCTGGCAGGCACAGCACTTTGGACGTGTCCATCGTCATTTTTCGTGGCAGGCGCAGCACCTTAGACGTGTCGTGCTGCGTGTTTTTTGCAAATTGCATTGGCAGGGCTGCGTCAAGTGGCGACAAGGTGCAAATTCCGTGGCAGGCGTGGCATTTTGTGCGATGTGGTGAAAATTGACGGAAGCCTCGCACGAAACATCGATTTTGAGGTTGCAAATTTTCAGGTCGATTTTGCAGCTACAAAGTGTGAAAATTGCAGGAAGTCTCGCACGAAATGCTCGTTTTGGTGTTCCCACCTGTCTCGTCTCGCGTCTCTGGTTTTCCCGTGGCCTCGCCGTGTCTATGGGGGAAGCTGCAAAACTTGTCCTTTTGTCATGTTGCCAACTGTGAAAATTGGAGGAAGTCTCGTAGGAAATGCTGTTTTTTCTGCATCCACGTGTTCTGTCGCGAGTCTCTGGTTTTCCTGTGGCGTCGCCGTGTCTATGGGGGAAGCTGGCAAACCTGTCCTTTTCGAATGTTTCCACGCAGGTTGTCCTGTCGTTTTGCGTGGCAGACGTGGCAGTTTCTGACATTCCAACCTGTTTGATGATGTTCACAAAATTTCAAAATTGGAGGAAGTCTCGTAGGAAATGCTGGTTTTTCTGCATCCACGTGTCTTGTCTCGAGTCACTAGTTTTCCTGTGGCGTCGCCGTGTCTATGGGGGAAGCTGGAAAACCTCTCCTATTCGAATGTGTCCAAGCAGGTTGTCATGTCGTTTTGCGTGGCAGGCGTGGCACTTTGTGACATTCCAAACTTGTTTGATAATGTGTTGAAAATGTCAAAATTGGAGGAAGTCTCGCACAAAATGCTCTTTTTTCTGTACCATGCAACTCGTCTCGAGTCTCTGGTTTTCCTGTGGCGTCGTCGTGTCTATGGGGGAAGCTCCGCACTCCACACTCTACACTTTACACTCCACACTTTACACTTTGCACTTTACACTCCTCACTCCTCACCTGAGACTTTACACTCCACATTCCACACTTTACACTCCTCACTCCACACTTTACCCTCGTCACTTTACACTCTACACTCCACACTCTACACTTTACACTCTACGCTCCCCACTTTACATTTTACACTCCACACTCCACACTCTACACACCACACTCTACACTTTCCACTCCACACTCCACACTCTACACTTTACACTCCACACTGCACACTTTACACTCCTCACTCCACACACTACACTCCACACCCCCACTTTACACTCCACACTCCACACTTTCCACTCCGCACTCCACACTCCACACGCTACACTCTACACTCCACTCTCCACACTTTATACTTTACACTCCTCACTCCACACTCCACACTTTACACTCCCCACTCCACACTCCACACTTTACACTCCACACTCGCTTTACACTCCACACTTCACACTCCACACTTTCCACTCCACACTCCACACTTTCCACTCCACACCTTACACTCCACACTCCACACTCTACACACCACACTCTACACTTTCCACTCCACACTCCACACTTCATACTTTACACTCATCACTCCTCACTCCACACTTTACACTCCTCACTTTACACTCCACACTCTACACACCACACTCTACACTTTCCACTCCAGACTCCACAATCTACACTTTACGCTCCACACTCCACACTTTACACTCCACACTTTACACTTGACACTCCACACTTTACACTCCTCACTCCCCACTCCACACTTTACACTCCGCACCCCACACTTTACACTCCTCACTCCGCACTCCACACTTTACACTCCACACTCCTTACCTTACACTCCACACTTCGCACTCCACACTTTCCACTCCACACTCCACACTCCACACTTTCCACTCCGCACTCCACACTTTACACTTTACACTCCACGCTTTCCACTTTACACTCCACACTCCACACTTTAAACTCCACACTTTACACTCCACACTCCACACTCTACACTCCACACTTTACACTCCACGCTTTCCACTTTACACTCCTCACTCCACACTTTACACTCCACACTTTACACTCCACACTCCACACTCTACACTTTACACTCCACACTCCACACTCTACACTCCACACTTTACACTCCACACTCCACACTCTACACACCACACTCTACACTTTCCACTCCACACTCCACACTCCACACTCTAAACTTTACACTCTACACTTTACACTCTACACTTTACACTCTACACTTCACAGTCTGCCATTTACGGACTCCACACTCCTCACTCCACACTTTACACTCCTCACTTTACACTCTACAATTTACAAACTCCACACTCCTCACTCCACACTTTACACTCCTCACTTTACACTCCACACTCTACACTTTACACTCCTCAGTTTACACTTTGCACTTTACACTCCACACTTTGCACTTTACACTCCTCACTCCACACTCTACACTCTACACTCCACATTTCACACTCTTCACTCCACACTCTACACTTTACACTCCATACTCCACACTCTACACTTCACACTCCACACTCTACACTTTACACACTCTACCCTCCCCACTCCACACTTTACACTCCACACTCCTTACTTCACACTCCACACTCCACACTCTACACTTTCCACTCCACACTGCAGACTGGTAACAAGGGAAACATGCACAAGACTGTTCAAATAAACTATTGCAGAAAGGTATTGTGCGTGACTGCATAACCATGTGTTTTGACATCTGTGCCATTAACATACGTGTGAGCATTCGGGTTCGTGGGCTTCATCTTGTTTTTTGCAAGTTTAGGTGTAGAAGCGAGCCGCCTGACGGGTCGACGTGAAAATGGAGGGGCCGGGGGAGCATCTTGGGTCAGTCTTAGTATGATCTACACCCATAAAATCATCCGTATCCATATATGATTCCCAGCACCATATAATCCACAATCATCACAATCATTCATGTTATCCATTTTATGATCATATCACCATCCATATCATCCACTTTATGATCCATATCGTCGATCACCATCCATATCCATATGGAAGGTTCCATGACTTATCAGGGGGGGTACTCACAAGAAGCACTTCCATTTCTCCATCTGCTCATTTTTTTATAGGTTAGTAGAAAGGCAATCTGTACAATGAACCAAAGGGTTTTTGACACTGCTGGAATTTAAAGGTGATGAGGCAGAGAGAAATTCAAGGGAAATTCTGCTGATTTCTTGGGGAGGTCTGCTGATTTCGTACCCATTTCAAGGGGAAACTGTTGGGGTTATGTTGAAAATCGTCAAAACTGGATGGTTGATAGTTGGGAAAATCATCTGTAAATTATGGTTTTACTGTCAAAATTATATGGGGTGCTGGAAAATCTCTACTTGGGCTAGATGTGGCACCCTCAATCAAACAGGAATGCAGAATTGCTCCGTTTTTCATGGTTCGGATCGAAGGTTTTTCATGGTACTCCAAACAGCGTTGCAAGGATACCAGATTGGATTCCGCAAGTTCCCTTTGTGAAAGATCTCTGTAGAAGACGTGTGCAAGATCTGCTTGACAGGTTCTTTCTAGACGCTGCTGTGCAAGATCCTTTTGTACAAGGTCTGTATGAGACCAAACAAAGATCGACTATGTTTAAACATGTCCTAGAAAAATTGCGTTGAACATTACACGACACCAATGTGACATTAAGCATCAAGCATCACCGGAAGCAACCTCCAGCCATTCCGGGAATGCGCACCGACGCGCAGTGCACGTGCCCCGCCGGACCACAGACCCGATGGTCACAGGGATGAGTGGACTATTGTGCCATCTCTATTTGATTGCGTACCAACATCACGCATGCTGGCAT